AGACACTTTCTTTTGTTATTTGTTATTTAGGGTCAGGTTAGGTTAAGATACTTTCTGGGCCGAGCGCTGCGGCTAGGATGGGCTAGGGGGCCCAGCGCTGCGGCCACGGGTTAGGTTAGTTAAGACACTTTCTGGGCAGAGTGCTGCGGCTAGGATGGGCTAGGGGGCCCAGCGCTGCGGCTACGGGTTAGGTTAAGTTAAGAAACTTCCTGTAACACCCATGTACAAAATTGATAGGAGGGGGGTCCAAAAATCGTATACTAGGAAATTACCCTTTCTTCTTATAAACGCAAAAACGTTTATAGCTAATTGTGAACACTTCGTATGAGAAAGGGTAATTTCCTAGAGAACGATTTTTAGACCCCCCTACCTCCCCACCTCCTATCAATTTTGTACATGGGTCTGACAAGAAGTGTCTTAACTTAGCCTAAACCGTGGCCACAGCGCTCGGCCCCCTAGCCTGTCCTAGCCGCAGCGCTCGGCCCCCTAGCCCATCCTAGCCTAAGCGCTCGGCCCAGAAAGTGTCTTAGTCTAACCTAACCCTAAATTATAGAAAAAAAACATTTACTGAAAAATAAATGGTCATGTACAATTCTGTTAACTATCGTTAACGAAGGGTCGTCGTTAACGATTGTTAACTAAGGTCCAGAAATCGTTCACTAGGACAGACCCTGAGAAAGAAAACAATTTGAATTTATCAACTCAAAATATTACACTTCTTGAAGTTTTGGTGATTTCATAGATAACAAGTTTTGGACCCTCCCCCCGTCCTCTCCTCTCGATTTTGTACATGGATCTTGTATGCAAGACGGATATAATTGACCATGTGGCCGCAGCGCTTGGCTCCTAGTCTGTCCTAGCTGCAGCGCTCAGCCCTTTAAGTTTCTTAATCTAAACAAATACTAATTTTAATTAAATTTGTTGAAAAATTTGTCATGGACTAAAATAGGTAATTTCCTATTAATTTTTTACATTTTGTAAAATTGATCAGGTGGCCTAGCGCCGGCCCCTTAGCCTGTACTAGTCGCGACGCTCGGCTTCTTAGCCCATCCTAGTCGCGGCGCTCGGCCCAGAAATTGTCTTAACCTAACCCTCAAAAATAAAAAAATAAATGTCCAAAAATCGTTCTTTAGGACGGACCCCAAAATTGATAGGAGGGGGGTCCAAAAATCGTATACTAGGACGGACTCACATATGGATATAATTGGTCGTGTGGCCTCAGCGCCCGGCCCCCTAGCCAGTCCTAGCCGCCGCGCTTGGCCCAGAAATTGTCTTAACTTAACCTAGCCCTAAAATATATAATGAAAAACAATAATTTTGCTGAATGAAAGTGGTCATTTACAAAATTTACAAGAGAGCGGCTGTGGGGGGGGGGGGGGGG